GTTTAACGGACTGAGCCACCCAGGCGCCCCTAAATAAATCTTTTTAAAAAAGGGATTAGGATTGCAGGCGTGGGTGTCAGATCTGGGTTTGAACCCCGGAATTTCCACTTACTGGCTGTGTGACCTTCAGGGAATAATTTAACTTTGTGAACCTCAGTTTCCTTACCCATAAAATGGGGGAGGGAGAGGTACAAATACCTTCTTCATAGGATTTCTGTAAGGATCTAGTGAAATATTAAATACAAATTACTTAGTTCCATATTGATACCTAGTAAGTGCACAATAAATGGCAACTCTTATTACTGACTTTGAAGGAGGCCCAGGTCCACTTAGACCCTCAATTCTTTTTCAGGAAACTGACCACAGTCACCTCTGAGTGTGTGTGGGGAATTAGAAAAGGTAAAGGGAAAGTACTTGTAAGGCTGCCTTGCCTCTTGAGGACTGCCTGGCTCACCCCCAGCACAAACAAGGACCGTGTTACTTTTTAAGGCTTCAGATGTGCAGGAGATGGAAGCTGCCCTAGGGTGCTGTGATGGGGAGAGCTGACTAAAGGGGGTTGTCTCCACTCAGGTGCTGAGCATGAGGAGCCTGACCTTTTGAAGGATGAGCTTCAGCTCTATGGAGGTAAGTCACTGTCCAGTGGCTTTGGCGAAAATGGAATTACACAAAGGACATGAGGGCTTTGGGCTTTGTTGGACAGAAACAAGTTCATGAGGGTGTTTCATGGCCGAAAAGTGCTAGGAAAATATAGGAGATATGGCGAAGAAAAATGGTCAGAACACTGGCAGATGGGGATGAAAACAAGCATTTTCCGCTTTGGTGAGACTGTCCCGGAATCTCTTCTGAACTATAACCTTGACTTGCAGGGCAACTTAGCTCAGTCACCCGATCTTTCTGGGCCTGAGCTTCCCAACCAGCAAAATGGAACATGATTAGCACCCACTGTCTTGGAATAGTGGGCTGTTTACAGGTGCACAGGAAAATTAAGGATCTCATCTCAAAAAAACTCATGTTATGGAATAATTATCTCCAGGCTTCGTGATTATTACAGCAAGGAGATATAAACATTATGGCACTTTGCTTGGAAGCACTTTGATGAAATGGGGACAATTTATAAGAATGAACCAGTTAGCCAAAAAGCCTAACAAATGCATACTGCAGGTAAGAAAACCCACTTAACTTTGTTTAATACATGGGGTATCTGGCTGGCTCAGTTAGTGGAGTGTGTGACTCTTGATCTTGGGGTTGTGAGTTCAAGCCCCATGTTGGGTGTAGAGATTACTTGAAAAAAAATCTTCATTTTGTTTAATCCAACATTTCTATAATTTACGTAGTCTCCTAACACCTGATAATAACCCAAGAATCAACAAGAAACACATACACATTCTAAGAAATGTAAATGAAATATTTTAATTTCTGCATCAAGATATTACCCATGGCTGCCTCTGGGTGGTAGCATTGTAATAATTACACTGTTTTATTTGCTTAACTGAATTTTCAGATTTTCTTTCTTCCTTTTTTTTTTTACACAAAAACAAGTACTACTTGGTTTAGAAAAATGTTTCTAACTACTCAAGTAGTGTAAGAATAGTTTCACTGGGTGTAAAATGAGGGAGAAACTGTTACATTTACATATATTTAAAAATGTTTTTGGGGGCAGCTAGGTGGCTCAGTCGATTAAGCCGACTGAGTTAAACTCTTGATTTCGGCTCTGGTCATGATCTGAGGGTCATTAGATCGAGCCCCACGTCTGGCTCCATGCTCAGCGTGGAGTCTGCTTGGGATTCTCTCTCCCTCTCCCTCTGCTCCTCCCCCCCTTAAATAAATAAGTAAATCTTTAAAAAAATGTTTTTGGGGTGCTTGGCTGGCTCAGTCAGTGAAGCATGCGACTCTTGATCTCAGGGTTTTGAGTTCAAGCCCCACAATGGGTGCAGAGATTACTTAAAAATAAAATGGTTTTATTTCTCATCATAAAAGAAATTCATATTTACTGTAGAAAACATAGATACCACCACAGACTTGTGAATTACTCCCCCCCAACCAAGACATTGGAGGTTCTTAGTAAATTACACTCTTGGAGTCTCATTTCATGCCATTCTAGTAGGTATGTTCTCCATAACCCTCACCACTGGCCACTCTTAGGTCACCTGCAGATAATGCTTCCTATTTGCATATTAGCCTTAAAGACAGTCCAGCATGTTGATTGTTGTGTGCTGAGTGCCCCCTTCTGGTGTCTGTATCCTGGGGCTGACCCAAACGTTGGAAAGTGTACCGGCATGGTGACTACTGGTGGTGGGGGCAGGGGGCGCTACCGGGGTCCTGCCTGCCCTTGAGGGGAAGGATTTGACAGGCTAGGAGAGAGGTCACCAGGAACTAGAATAGGCACCAAGAATCAGGGTGAATGGGGTGGGTAGGCCACCCTAGACCAGATTAATGAGGAGGCTGCGGCTTGGGACAAGTACATAGGGCTCACATCACCCTCAGCAGTGCAGACAAGGAGCTCAACACTCAGGGTGTGGGGCTGGGGTTCCCAGGATGCAGCCCGGCTTGGCTCCCACGAACTCGGCCTGGTGGGGCTGGGTCCACGTAGCTGAGTGTCACCACCTGCATCTTGCATGGTCAAGAACAGGCACAGGTTGCAAACTGGTGCCCACATGTGTGTAGATGTGTTTTATCTGGCTCATAGAGCATTATTATTATCATTATTATTATTATTATTATATTTCATCAACTCATACTTTTTCACATTTAGACATCTCTGAAATCAGGATGCATCTTAAAATCACTGGCAACTTACAATTAAAATTGGCAGTGGTTTTCCTTACATAGTAACGTATAAAATAATGTCATGCCTCACAAACGATGACATCTTTGATTCCATGGAATCCAAGAGTTGCCAACCTCTTTTATAATCAAGAAGTTGGTGTAAAAACCTGGATTTCTGGCTTTTCGTGGGAAATTTGATGACCTATAACACTAGACAGGCGTTCGTACTGTGGCTGGTGGGTGGTGGCTGCCCCTTTGGAAGGAATAGGCTTCCAGCTTGCTCCAGTCACCACTGAGCCCACTCAGATCATATGGAAAGTCTCTGAGTGAGATCCACCTTCCCCACAGTGTAACTTCTCCCCACCCAGAGGATAAGGGATATGTAATCACTGATTCTCCTTCCATGTAGGTGCCCCTGGAGAGGTGGTGCCCTCTGGAGAATCGGGTGAGTGTCCGCTTAGGGGAGAGAGATTGTCAGTACGGATGATGGACAGGTCTGGGCACTGTCTTTCCCCTGGAAGAACCAGCTACTGTTGGGGTTCATGGGTGTGAGATGGGGACTCCAAATCCAGTTGGGGTCCTGGGACTCTCACCTGGGCTCAGAGGGTTAGAAAAGGGTTTCAGGCAAGAGGAAAAGGGATTGCAACAAGCAACTGATAGATGGAAAGCTCCTCTGGGGGCTGGAGAATTTGACGTGGCTTTTTCAGAGGTCACCTACTTCCTCCGCTAGGGTGCAGGCACCTGTTAAGGTCCCAAGCTAGGCTGGCACTAATGTTGAGTTTCTAATTTCCAGGACTCCGAAGAAGAGGCTCTGACCCAGCAAGTGGTAAATACACAAACTCCAAGAAGAGATGGGGGAGGGGGCCTGGATTCGGGGGGATTAGGACAGGGCCAGACAGCCTGAGAGGGTGGGTCAGTCACAGCAGGGACGCCGTCACCAGCCAGAGTGTCTCCATGATTCCGGAAAGGGACCTCCAAGCTCAGGAGAAAGGAAACAGAATGCAGACCCAGGCCTGTGTGGAGAGGAGGCGGGGTGAGGGCGGGCCCCAAGGACAGATAGCCCCACATTCACAGCTTTGCTCTGACTGGTCCTGTGGTGAGTGCCTTCTGACCCAGGAAGAAGAATCCAGGAGAGCCAGTCTCAGTGAAGGAGGGAAGAGAAAACCCCAGCAGCCGTCCCTCATCCAAATTCAACATTCATCTCTCTCTTGTTCCTAAGGAGAAGTGGAGGCCTCTGAGTTAAGAAGACTGAATATAAAGAAAGATGGTAAGGAAGTTGGTGCCCCCAAGCTTCTTCTGCCTGTCTGGTCCAGATTTCTATGGGCAGAAATTCTGCCAGTGGCCTAGAAAAACAACGATCATAGCCCACCTCGGTCGTGTGCCCTGTTTGCAGACTCCTCAGCTTAGAATCACCTCAAGAAGGTGGTACGGACTCCCATTGTGCAGATATGGAAACTAAGGCTCAAGGATGGACTGTGGGCTTTCAGCGAGCGAGTGGCACAACCTGGGCTTGAACTCTGGTCCTGTGCTGTTTCTGCTATACATGGAGTCACAGGGATGATAAGTGCCCCCTAGCCCTCTGGCCACAGTGGGGAGCTGGAAGGGGGGGTGAGGAAGCCTTGAGGTTAGATTAGCTAGACTCTAGAGAAGGAGCCATAAGAACTGGAGGGAACTCCTTTGCTGTAAGCCAGGGGTCTGTGAGGGCTTCAGGGAGGAGGTCAAGGAAGGGACAGGAGACCAGGGTGTTTGATTAAATAAATGGCAGTTGTCCTAGAAACATCTGGGGTTGTTGCAAAGGCCCACCTTCAGGGAGTGGGAGACCTGGGTGTGAGCCCCTGACTCTGTCTCTCTCCAGCTAAATGAACCAGGGTTTTAGGGCTTTCCTGGGCTATGAAATGTGCCTCATTTGAATAAAACTGAGATTCCCAAAGTGCAGGGCATGACATTATACCCCAAAGCAAGAAGGTGATTCCCCTTTCCGCTCTCCTTCCTAGAGCACGAGCTCAGTTTGGAGCCCCTGTGCCTTTAATGCCACCCTGACCCTTATTCATTGCCCTTTGGACACAGACAGCAGAGCCACCTCTATTCTCAGCCCCTTGACTGAGTCGAGGGCCCTGTGTCATCTCCCCAGTGACTAGCCCAGTGCCTGGCAAAGTGCCGCGGGGCCTCGCTCACAGAGCACGCCTGAGCACCGGCCCATGGCACAGAACCCACTCTCAGTGCCTCTCCTTGGAGAACCCTCCAAGCCTACATTTGCACTTCTGAGCATGGGGCCCACAGAAATACGTGCGCAGAGATTCATATGTATTTGGTGCAGCATCACTAACAGCAAAAAATCAGACACTTCTGGGTTCATCAATGGGGGACCAGACAAATAAATTAGGTTAAGTTTATACCATGGAACACTATGCAGCCATCCAAAAGAACAGGGCGATCTACATATGTTCTGAGATGGAAAGACAGCCCTGATGTATCTATGAGAGGAAGAAAGGAAATGATAAAGAGCTGTAGGTGTACAAATGGGTCCTGCTTTTTTTTTAGTTCAAATATAATTAACATACAGTGTTATATTAGTTTCAGGTGTACAATATAGTGATTCGATTATTCTGTACATTTCTCAGTGCTCATCATGCTAAGTGTACTCTTAATCCCCTTCACCTGTTTCACCCCTCCCCCCACCTCCCCTCTGGTGACCATCAGTGTGTTCTATTTAAGAATCTGGTTTTTTTGTTTGTCCCCCTTTTTTCTTTGTACGTTTGTATGTTTGTTTTCACTCACGTATGAGTGAAGTCATATGGTGTTTGTCTTCCTCTGACGGACTTGGTTCACATAGCTTTATACCCTCTAAGTCCATCCATGTTGTTGCAAATGGCAAGATCTTATTCTTTTTATGGCTGGGTAATATTCCATAATATACACATACCACATCTTTGTTATCCATTCATCCATTGATGGACACTTGTGTTGCTTCCATAATTTGGCTGTTATAAAGTTACAATAGACATAGGGGTGCATATATCTTTTTGAATTAGTGTTTTCTTTTTATTTGAGTAAACACCCAGTAGTGGAATTACTGGATTGTATGGTAATTCTATTTTTAATTTTTTGAGGAACCTCCATAATTGGCTTTCCACAGTGGCTACACCAATTTTCATTCCCAACAACAGTACATGAGGGTTCCTTTTTCTCTACATCCCTGCCAACAGTTGTTATTTCTTGTCTTTTTTATTTTAGCCATTCTGACAGGTGTGAGGTGATATCTCATTGTGGTTTTCATTTGCATTGCCCGGATGATGAGTGATGTTGAGCATCTTTTCATGTGTCTATTGGCCATCTGGATGTCTTCTTGGAAAAATGTCTGTTCATGTCTTTTGTGCATTTTTAATTGGATTATTATTATTGGTGTTAGGTTATATAAGTTTTTTTATATACTTTGGATATTAACCCCTTATCAGATATACCATTTGCAAAATCTCCTCCCGTTCACTAGGTTGCCTTTTTGTTTTGTTGATGGTTTCCTTCACTGTGCAGAAGCTTTTCATTTTGGTGTAGTCCCATTTGTTTAATTTTGCTTTTGTTTCCCTTGCCTCAGGAGACATATCTAGAAAGAAGTTGTTACAGCTGGTGTCAAAGAAATTACTGTTTATGTTTTCTTCTAGGAATTTTGTGGTTTCCTATCTCACATTTAGGTCTTTCATCCATTCTGAATTTATTTTTGTGTAGGGTGTAAGGAAGTGGTCCAGTTTCATTCTTTTGCATGTAGCTGTCCAGTTTTCTGAACACCTTTTGTTGAAGAGACTGTCTTTTTTCCATTGGATAGTCTTGCCTCCTTTGTCGACTATTAATTGACCATAAAAGCATGGCTTTATTTCTGGACTATCTATTCTGTTCTATTGATCTGTGTGTCTATTTTTGTGCCAGAACCATAATGTTTTGATTACTACAGCTTTGTAGTATATCTTTATATCTGGAATTGTGATACCTCCCTGCTTTTGGTTTTTTTTAAATGTGCATATATTTGCCTGGAAAGGTTTTGGCAATCACCGCTTGCTTTTAAGGAGGGGGATTAGGGAGGGAAAATGGGGCATTGTGAAACTTTTAGACTTGACACATTTGCATTTTTTACTGCATTTAATATTCATTTGACAAACAAAAATATTGGGCAGCTCTGCAAGCCTGGCAGTGCTTTAGTCTCTGAGCAAAATCTCTACCCTCCATCCTACTGAGAGGGACAGAGAATAAATCTGTTTCACATTTTTTTCTTTGTTTTTTGAGAATAAGTGTGGAAATAAAAATATAACAAGTTGAGGGGTGTCAGTGTTAGAAAAATAATAAAATGAGATAAAGCCTGGAAATGGGGTGCTTTTTTAGTTGGGCTGCTCAGGAGCACCCTCTCTGAATAAAGTTACATTGGAGCAGAGACAGGACTACTTTTAGTAACAAAAAAAAAAGAGAGAGAGAGAGAAAGAAGCAAATAGTAATTCCCACCTCTGCCTTTACAGATGAGTTTTTCCATTTTGTCCTGCTCTGCTTTGCCATTGGGACCTTGCTGGTGTGTTATCACTATTATGCAGGTGAGGGCCGTGGGAACAGGTGGGGGGGAAAGGGGAGTCCATACTTGCAGGCTGACCATTCTCTCCCTCGCTGCCCTCGCAGACTGGTTCATGTCCCTTGGGGTCGGCCTACTCACCTTCGCCTCCCTGGAGACCGTTGGCATCTACTTTGGGCTGGGTAAGTTCCCCCCATACACACACACACACACACACACAGACACACACACCCCCAGACTCTTTAGGGGTGGTGGCTGGACAGATGCCCACTAAGGGCCAGAAAGCCACCACCTAAACATTTTTTAAAGATTTCCTTATGCTCATGTTTTCTTCCTAACCACTTTCAAGGTCACGGTGAGGTCATTGGCAAAACCCCATGGAAAAAATGGGCAGCTCCACAAAAATGCAACAAAAACAGTTTAAAGTGGCAAACAAACAGAATTAGCCAGAGATCGAAAACAAGGCAGTTCACGGAGTGGGGTACTGAATTCACTGAATTTCCTGGCACTGTTATTGCTGTTCAAGGTCATTGTTTTTAATAATAATAACTCCAGTACTATTATCTAAGCTCAACCTGCTGCCTGAAATTCCACCACTAATCCCTGTTTGTGTGGGTTAGGCCTTTATCCGAGGGTGGGGCGGGGGGAGTGACCCTGGGTCCCTTGCTGGGGCACAAAGCTCAAACTCCTTTCTCTCTGTTTGTGAGCAGTGTACCGGATCCACAGCATCCTGCATGGCTTCATCCCCCTCTTTCAGAAGCTTAGGCTGATGGGTAATGTTTCCATCCTTCCTATGTTCACCATCTTCCTCCCTATCAGGGTCTTTGGTTGCAAACGGGGCTTAGCCTATAGGAAACAGCACAGGGCCTGGAGTCAGGGACCCCTGCCGATTCACCAGCTTTGGGGCCCAGGATCATCTTTCAGCCTCCGTTTCCTCCACTGGACCATGGGTGTAGTAATAACCACTGCACAAGGGTGTTATGCAAAACCACATGAGGAACGGATGCGAAAGTGCTTAAGTGTGGAACACTGTAGAAAAGTGAAGGGAATCTGGGTGTTCCTCATTCTCTCATAGAACTTTACACTTACCCGAACACCAGTTTTGCCAGGATTTTATTTGCCTATTAGGTGTGCTTCAGTTATGTTGCACTTGACCGATGAAGGAATTGAGGCCCAGAGAGGTGGAGTGACTTGCCGAGGGTCACACAGCTAGTGTGGCTGGGCTGGCCTGAAGGAGATCCTCTTTCTTTCTGACCAGCAGCTCTGTGCCTCCCATGACGTCTCAAAACTGAGAGGCCAGGGGGCTGTGTGGCTCTGTGCTGGGGATTTCTGTCTCCTTTAGCCCATTGAATTCATAAAGGGGAAATTCGTTGCAGTGGCTGTTGGTCATGGAGACCCGTGGCTTCTAGGGTGACATTATCCCAGCTGCGAGGAGTATTTGGGCATCTGGGGGGATGGTGGAAATGAGGCCTGGCTGCCTTCAGAATCCCATGCCATCCTGCGGGCTTTGCTTTCCAGGAATCAGGAAGACCGACTGAGGCCAGTGCTGGGCTGGCAGCCGCGCTGGGCCCCAGTATGACCACCACTGCATCTCCTGAATGTGCAAGGGCAGAGCCCCATTCTGGGAGACACGCGGGCGGGCCAGTCTAGAGCAATAAAGAGAGCACTTTTCCTTCCGTGTAGTCTGAACGTTGGCACCAGCCTGGACCCAGGTATCATTTGGGCAGTATTGGCATGCAATCCAACTGCCAGGATGGAAAGCAGAGGCAAGGTGCCAGGCCTATGCCCTTTGCAGTTCCTGGATCAACAGGAGGATTCTAGGATGTCACTGCTCTCAGGAGACAGTAGGAGACCCCTGGGCCCTGCAAGCTGTCATTCGTGTGGGCTCCTGATTCCTCTCAAATCCCCAGGCCATCCAGGTGGGGTGAGAGAGGAAAGGGAGCCATCATGCCGGGCCCCTAGGGTGAACCTGATACAGGCGAGCTGCTGGGGACTAAAGCCACAGCATCAAGGCATCTTCTCTAGCCCCGTTGCCTAGTGCCAGCCCCGCTGCCTTGGATTCCATCAATATTCAAATAAACGTTTTCTTCCCTGGACTAAAGAGAGTCAGCTAAATGTTCCTTCAAGTTTCTTGAGCATGAGAACACATTTGGAGTCTCCTTTGACCCCATCTAGTCAGGGAGGGCACCTTGTCTACTGGATAAAGTATAAAAGGGAATAAATGTATAGCCCCTCATTTAAGGTCCAAGACTCAAATTGCACAAGTTCAGGAAGAGGGTTTTGCAAACTTTCCTATGAAAAGATGTGGGGCTGCTAGGTGCTCTAAGCCCAACAAATACCAAATGAGTGAAATAGAAGCACACATACACAAAAATCCCTTGCAAACTTGGGTTGCATAAATGGAGGTACAGAGTCTAGACTGAAGGAGGTGATAGTACACCCTACTTTACGCAGCTATTCCACACCAACGCACATATTCAGTTCTAGATTAACATCTCAAGAGCAATAGTGACAAACCAGAAAACAAACAGAAGAGACCAGAATGGGAACAGAAAGAATGACTGAAGAAACGAGAACTCTTCAATTTACAGAAGAGAAAAGTGGGGCCTTCTCTGAGCTCACAAACTCTTGGAGGATACTTGCTCAAGTGCTTATGATGGTCCAAGTACAGTCACATATGTTATCTGATTTAATTCTCACAGCAGCCTTGAGATGTGTCAGTCATCCCCATTTTGCAGATGGAGAAAGAGCCTCAAAGAGCTTTAGTAACTTCTCAAGTTCCCACAGTAAAGCAAGTGGCACAGCCTCCATCTGAACCCAAGCTTATGTTCTCCTTATGCCAAGCTGCCTTACAGAGCTTAGCCAGTCTAGTCCCCCACTCCAGGCAAAGCAGCCCCGAGGCAGCGACACTTTTTCCCAGACTTTGGGATTTCTGAGTTAGAGAGTATTTTTTTAAAAAATGAGAGGAACGGGGCACCTGGCTGGCTCAATTGGTGGAGCATGTGACTCTTGATCTTGATCTTGGGGTTGTAAGTTCAAGTCCTGTGTTAGGTGTAGAGATTACTTAAAAATAAGATATTTAAAAAATAAATAAATAAAATAGGGGCACCTGGGTGGCTCAGTCGGTTAAGTGGCCAACTCTTAATTTCGACCGCTTAGGGTCCTGAGATTGAGCCCTGCGTTCGGCTCCACGCTTGAGGGAGGGCGTGGAGCCTGCTTGAGACTCTCTCTCTCCCTCTCCCTCTGCCCCTCCCCCACCCCCACTTGCATGTGTGCATGCGCTCTCTCTCATAAATAAATAAATAAATAAATAAATAATAAATAAAATTAAAAAGTCAGAGGAGGGCTGCCAAGTCTTTCCCTTGCTAATTGGAGACAATAAAAATAACAAAAACCATCAACTTATCAGCATCATTTTATAAAAGAAAGAATAGTTTTACACCAAAAAAGCAGGGAAATTATCAGCAGAAACAAAAGAGGGTTTTAAATGAACAAAGCTTGGGGTGCCCAGGTGGCTCAGTCGTTTAGCATCTGCCTTCGGCTCAGGTCATGATCCCAGGGCCCTGGGATGGAGCCCTACTTCGGGCTCTCTGCTCCGCGGGAAGCCTGCTTCTCCCTCTCCCACTCCCCCTGCTTGTGTTCCCTCTCTCGCTGTGTCTCTCTCTGTCAAATAAGTAAATAAAATCTTTAAAAAAATAAATAAATGAACAAAGCTTTATGAAAATTTTACCGCGTGTCCTTTTTCCTCAAATCCACCATAGTCTGGTGAAAAAAAAATCATCATTCAGAAACCACAGAACTGGAGAATTTCCGAGGACTTTTACATTCTCTTTTTCTACTCTCGTTCTAAGACACCTCTCTCAATGAAGCTTGCAGCATTATTTCAGAATAGTGACCTCCAAGTGGGGAATGTTCTTGGTGGTCACGATTGCAACATTTAGCTCTGAGCCCAGCCCTGACATGGATGCCCGTGGCACGGTTCTCCGCCTTTACTCCTCTTCCTCAAGATTGTTTTGTTGTTCTGGGTCCCTTGCATTTCCACACTGAGTTTTAGGAGCAGCTCATCAACTTCACAAAGAAGCCAGTGGGAATTGTGATACGACTGCATTGCAACTGTTGATAAATTTGAAGAGTATGGTGCTTCTTTTTTTAGTGATTTATTACCTTTTTAACATTTACGTTAAAAAAAATTTTTTTGCACCAAATCCTAGCACCCAAAATCAACCACAGTTAGATATTTGGGTGTGTTTCCTGTGAGTCTTTAGTGCATGAGGTATTTATTTTTATTTTGGGCCCTTTTCTCTTGCACATAGAATAAGGATTTTTCCATTATATAATAAGGATATTTCCATAAGCATCATTTCCCACCCACTGTGCTTTTCATGCTTTGCATAATAATCCCTCCAGATCCAGGTAATAATATCAATGGCTAACATCTGTTCAGCACTTCTTATGTGCTGGCTGTGGAGATAAGCGCTTGGTGGACACCACATCATTCTTCTTCATTGAAACCCTGTGAGGCAGCATCTGTCATGATCTCCATTTGAGAGATGAGAAAACGAAGACACAGAAAGCTAGGTCAGGTATTTATCAAACAGGAATAGAACGTAAGTTTTCATGATAGAAAAACGAACTTACTGACTCAAGGACAGTGTGCTTAGCCTCATTTTGTGAGGATGCGGGGTCCTTGTGGCTGGCTCTGCCACTGCCTGGCTGGGATTTTGGCCAAGTCCTTCTCTGTCTCGGCCTCAGTGTCCTCGTCTGTACAATGGGGATCACAGTGGCCCCCACCTCACAGTGTTGTGGCAAGGACTACATAAGATAATTGCATGAAGTCTTTATTTTTAAAGAATCATCCGTACAGATTGTTATTAGATGTCTAGTTTTATGTCTCACTTAGTAAAACCCTCTTATTGCCGAGTTTTCTTTTAGGTTTGTATTCTCTTATTTGAAAGCAATCCTTTTGTGTGTTTGTTTTCGTGTCTGCTTTTATTATTTGAGTATAGTTGATGTATAAAATCTTATACATGGTCTCTGGTACATAGTAGGCGCTCGGTAAGAGCATCTTCTTGGAAGGTACTTGATCAGAGCAGGGGCACACATCTGATCTCGTAAGTCAGGCAGGCCAAGTCAGCCAGAGGTAGAAAAATGGGGAGTCAGGAGAGGGGACCAGGCAAGCTGATACCTGACTGAAGGGGTCAGCTGCTGTCCAGCATCGCTGGACAGGAAGAGCAACCTGTGGCTACCAGCCAGAGCCAGCCAGGAAAATGGAACCACACCAGGGGTTTCAACAGAGAGCTCTAACACAGGGGATATGTTAAACAGGCCCAGGATCATTGAGAAGGCAAAAGGGGTCACTGAGGTATCACGGAGCCTACCTAGGGCTGGGGAACAAAGGAAAGAGTTTTGAGTACCCAGCCCTGTGAGGAGGGGAACGGCTTGGTGGGGCTGGTGTCTCTCCTGGGGGCCCAGTGGGGCTGGTTCAAGACCAGTGATGTCAGACCTCAAATGTCTCAACAGAAGCCAGATTTTCTTTGATGTTGGCAACTAGTTTTTTTAAATTTCAAATTCTGCTGTGAAAAAATGGTTCCTCAAAAAATTAAAAGTATTATTACCATATGATCCAGCAAGGCCACTTTGGGGCATATACCCCAAAGAATTGAAAGCAGGGATTCAAAGAGATATTTGCACACCCTTGTTCATAGCAGCCTTATTCGCAATTCTAAAAGGTAGAAGCAACCCAAGGGGCCATCAGTGGATGAATGGATAAACA